GTCACCAAAAAGCTGATTGTGCCACAGCAGTCTCCCCTTCTACAGACCTGTTCATCCGAACCAGAGGCGATTTGGCGTGTGTACAGGCTCAATTCTGATCTTAAAGGGGGATCCAGTCGCAGGTGCATACGCAGTAGCCCGCATGCCCCAGAAAGGGAGCCGTTCTCGTAGCGAGCCTCAATCACCAAACCTGAGAAGGCACGACTGGATCCCTAGAGGTCCCGAAGAACCATTTTTGGACGAACCAAAAGAGACACACAACTAAACCCCAAACACTCCAATGTATGCCTCATATGCCGATCAGTTGGAGTGGTTTTGGGGGTGAATGGGGTGGCATAGATGGCAGTCCCCATTAGGCACGTGTTTGGGAACGGACCTGGCAAACCATGGCAAACCATACCTCCCGACGCAGACGGCCGGGCACTCTCAAGGCCCGGCGCCTCGGCAGGATCCGACGCAGCACGCAGAAGTACCGCTTCTCCTCGGCGGTGGACCCGCTCCTCGGTGTCGACATGTGCGGAGGTGGTGACGTGCGGAGTGGTATATAGCGTGACGTTGGCTGAGAAGGTGCGGAGATATAATAGGTGCCCAAGAAAAAGACATGCATGGAATAGGATGGAATATGATGGAATGAAATGGCTACATCATCGTTAAGAGCAGTTTTTTGGGGTGTGAGTTGCTGAAAGTGTTGGAAGTTCCCTTCCAACTCCATCTTGAATTCACCTGCACCTTCGACTTGGTCATCCACAGGATCAAGAACCCCCCGACCTCGGTCACGTGCTCTGACCTGGTCTTCACACCGGGCAGGGCAGTTGCCAGTTTTCAGCTGGTTGCCAGTTGGCAGTACCAGGAAGCTCTTGCAGTTTTTTCCAGTGATTTTGGTTCAGCAGGTGAAGGTGAAGGCAGGGGGAAGATCATGACATGTTCATTGTAATTGGCTATAGGGATCCAGTCGTACCGAACCTCAGGTACGTTGATGTGTTGGAGACACTGGTAGATGAGACGGTGCCAAGTCACGTCGGGTCCAGTTGTACCGAACCTGAGAAGTAGGTACTTTCCTGGATCCCTAGGGTTGGAGCCTGGCGGCATGTTGAGCCAACTTTTGTCTCAGACGGCCTTGCAGGATCTTGCAGGATCTATTGGAGGGGGACCAGTACGGTACTTTAGAAACCGTACTCATTGGCTTGGAAACCTCCCCTTGACGGCAGGAACACTAAAAACTAAGCCATCCTCAAACTGAGAATCCCAGCCCAAACATGCGAATTGACACGGCTGGTCCACGATTTTTGGAGAGACAGGTCCTGGTCCACCAACCAACCGCGTGGCCGAGTTGCGCCCACGTTGGGTCTACTTGTTTGGATGCATCCAATGTGTGGAGAAGCAAACATTTCTAGAATTCAGAAGTCGGAAGTACGGAAAAAAACACAAAACAGCATGTTTGGTAGTTTGCGACCAGTGAAAAGGAGGTTTTCGACATGACTTGTTTTGCTGGGATGATACAAATTAGGTTGAAAGCCCTAAGGTCGCAAACAATTGGTCACAAGCAAAAGTAGGAACTGGTGGAGCAGTTATGGCAGAGGACGGACATCATGTTCCCAGCTAGCTTTGCAACTCTGCAGAAAGGAATTTATGAATCAATGTTTGTGGTACTGTTACTTAGTATGTCCCTGAGCAACAATATATCGATCAGATACCAGCCAATTCTTTACAAACAATCTGCACCAAGACCTAACCTACCCTAGGGTTCCAGTCGTGACTGGACCCTCCAGTCCCACCACCTTCTAAACGAAGGTACGACTGGAGCCCGGATGGGCTCAGAAACGGCTGGTCACCGTGATGGATTTCCGGTCTGCTCAGACCTGCCTCGATCGCCATGTGTGTCGTCTCGATTGCCTACGAAAGGGTCGGAGCATCGCCCGTTTCGCGACGGAGTCCCTCGCGGAGCGGCTCAGGATGTATCAGTCCAACAACGCCGTCTTGGGGCGCGGGCCTTGGGTTGGTATGGGTTGGTATGGGCACAGTCAGGGTGGTCACAAGACTATAGTAAGATACACTAAGACTCAAGTTGATTCAGTGGTTTTGCCGATCACCAAAGGGGCCAAGAGCATGGTCTTTTTCCAAACCATCTTGTATTCTACAAGGTGACTTACTGTTTTCCATTAAAATCATGGACTAGGAACAAGGATGCTACTAGGGGCTCCTGACCTTACTACAAGGAGCGATCGGACGCTACGAACGGAGCATTTCGGGCATCGAAACACGAACGGAACATCGCTCCACACCGCACTGTCCGCCGTGTGAGGGTCACAGGTGAACTGTCCGCTTCGAACAAGCTCAGCTTCCCAATCACTTCCCCAGTGCGAACTTCGAACTTCAGCTTGTTGCGGAACTTGTTTACCACTCATCGAACGCCTTGTTGCGGAACCTGTTGCAGAACTTGTCTCAGATCAAAGAGGCATTCGCAGAGAGTGAATAGTTGCCCTGTGGTCGTGTTGGCTTGGTTCACCAACAGGATCACAACAGAACTTGCGGTCATGTTGTGAAGGTGACGGCGGTCGTCGTGGTCATTTGGATGGCTGACTGCCATGCTCTATTCTTCCCAAGCTTGTACATCATTGGGTTGCGCCTGTGCACCAACTCATGCACCAACACAAAATGTACACTATTGTACACTCTTTGTCCAAATAGATCCTGAAGAGGCTGTCCAATCCATGTCCTCCGAAAGTGGTTGCACACTTACACAGTGTTACACCACTCATTGTTATTTACTACTTACCACTGAATCTTCGATGGTCACACATGGCCATTGTTGTTGAGGCCCTGCGTCGAGGTGTTATTCCCTATATGGCTCCTGGCCTGCCTCCGTTTCGTGTCGATGGGACAGGGGTGGGTGGGTGCCAGGGGGGCCAAATACCACCGAACTTGAGGATGTGGGACGGGAGCCCAAACGGGATTCTGTTTTTCTGTTCGGTCCTCCTCAGGATCATCACGGACGCCTCCTGCCAGCCGCAAGTGCTTTCAGCCTCCACGGCGAAGGCAGTGTTCCAGGCCACCTCGTCAGTGTCGGTGTGGCAAAAAGCACCGGGAAAGGGGAAGGCTTTGAAGGAAAGGAACAGGAGGAAAGGAATACATGTGGCACTGGTAATCCTGGACCCCATAGCAAACTTTAGAAGGTAGGCAACCGTTATGCTCGAGGTTTGGATATGTTTTGGTATTGTCTTACATTGTCTTCATAATATGATCCTGTAGGCACAAACCATTTGAGCAGTTGAGGGGGTGGACTCCTTGAAGGCTTCTGAGGTTGTGATGTGACGTAGTGTGGTTCTTCATGTTTCTTCCAGTTACAGGATTTTCTGTGCACAAATGGATTCCTCTGCAGCTCTGCCCACTGTGCCTATAGATGTGCCTATAGACGTGCCTAGTCAACTGCCAAAGGACCAGTAGAACCAACAGCCACGTAGCTTCATCCACCTAGGAAGTCGTCGCCTGGAGACGAGGAAGACGCAGCTTGTCTTCGACGCGACGACGACGCGACGCGACAACAGATCCGATGGGTCGTCCCCCTGTGGCGAGGACCTGCACTTCTTCTTCCGCACCGAACAAGAGGCCCGTGAGCCGAACGAGCTCGTGGGGTGGAGATGGCTGGAGATGGTGGGTGATGAGGCAGATGGATGAGGCCCGTGAGCCATTTGGACAGGGTGTTGCTCTGTATGTATGTGTGATATTCCTTTCCCTATAAAGCAACCATAGCAATGCAGAGTTGGTGTGTGGTTCATATTTGTGTGGAAACCATTGACGCTCAAGTTACATGAAGGGTGGGTCAAAATTAGTGTGGAATGGACACAGGGGAAACCTCAATCTGTGTGATGGTTTGGACTCTGGACTACGTTTTTCCTGCGTTCCTTTCCTATTTGGGAATTACTATCAATAAATTGACTCGGGATTGTTGATGTTGTCTTGTTCCTCCTGCAATCCCTTTGTTCTTTATATCATCAACAACATCAACAGTCCCTGAACGCATATCCCTTGTTCTGATACATTCCTATTTAGGAATTATATTGAATTATGTTCAATAATTCACTCATAGATCTGTAATACCCCATGATTTGGAAGTGGGTGGTTCCCAGGTGGTCTTAAGGCAAGGGATATGATCTGTATTTTTGGGGATTGGCGATGCCCTAGGCTTCCAACCACCATTGATTTAATAGGCTGAATCCCGAATCAACTAATGATTTTACACGACAAAAAACCAGGTCGTTCCCATGTGAATGGTCGAACGGAAGTCGAACGGGAAGAGGTGATGGGCCAGGTTCACCTTTATATTTTCCGTTCGGACGGCCCATAGCGTATACACTCGTTCCGTTCGTCGTATACACCTGAATGCTTTTGGTTCCTCGTTCCGTTTTTCTGTAAACGTCGTTCTTCTGGTCACCTCCGGTGCTCGGCTCGCCGAGTGTCGGCTCCCGGTCACCTTACCGAGATGTGTTTCAGGAGGAAGATAGGTGAAGACCCCACTCAAACCCACAAGTGGGACATAATTAGTGGGACTCATCGAAAGAAGCTGTTCAGAGTTTGTGATCCTATGTGATCCTTTTTCGATCGCAAGGGATGGTGCGGAAAGATCGGTGAAGTATATATGGTAGTAAACCTTTGTTTTCCCAGGAATCTATAGAGCCCCGTGGCTTATGATCAAGTTCCATCACTCTGAGAAGAATTCATGAGAGGAAGCACTTCTATTCACTTCAAGGCATTCATGAGAGGGATTTGTTGGCTATTTCTGTGTCAGAGACACGATGTTAGTATGTCAGAGTGTTGCAACTGGTTGGCTATGTGTTGCACTTTGACACGCAAGCCCCTTGGCTTCTAGAGGAATCTCGTCTTCCAACAGGCCATGCCCCCAGGATCCCCCAAGAAGACTGTTGGAACCTCAAAAACATGAACACAACCAACCATCCAGCAAACATATATCAAACATATTATACACTGTCCACGTTCTATGTATTTGCTTTGTCCTGCCGCCCCCTCTTGTTTTGCTCAGATCCGCATCGCCTCCCCCTTGCCGAAAGCCCACCGACTGTCGCTTCGTGCCTCTTTGACTCCGCTTGGCCAATGGTGCTGGTGGTGGTGAAGAGTCTCACGGGCGAGACGCTCTTGGAGGAGGAGTTGACCGCCATCAATGCGCAGGACACGAGTTGGGAAGAGGTTTTGGAAGGAGGAATGGATGGGAATGGAAGTTGGATCTACTAGAAGGCAATGGATAGAAGTGGGTTTGGAAGAAGTGGGAATGGGACTGAAAACCGGAGTGTCCGTTGCTCTCTTCGTGAATAATTACCCATGCATGGGGTGAAGATGGATAATTGAGGTGACGATGACAATGGCAGATTGTAAGATGACAACTCAAGACAGCAAGTGACCCTACTAAGAATCCGGACCTTCACCAGCACATCGGAAGTTGCTTCGGGCCTCTTTACCCCCCCAGCGTTTCGGTGTAGAAGGTTACCTCCTCTGCCATAATGGAGGGCCCACGGATTCTTAGGGTGGAAGAGATTGTTGCACCCAGACGCTCCAAACAGGCTTTGGTCCCTCAAAACCATAGGGATTTGAGACCCCAGACCCCTCCATATGAGGATCCATGGAAATTTTGGGTTTGGATGACATCCAAACTTCCGGACAGTTTTGCTGCAGATGACTTGCAGATGAGTCTTGCGTGGATAGTGGCGGGTTAAGGCTAAGGTCGAAGTCGGTCGAAGCTCTGGATTCTGGATGCTTTACCGTCGATGTGTGAGTGGAGGTTCCCTATAAGATTCCTGGCCCTCCATCGACATTCATGTTTTCTTCATGCTTGGAAGCCATATTGAATCCCGCACAACCCTCATCTTAATATATACCCTAGGGGGCCCCCCTGGCACCCACCCACCCCTGTCCCATCGAAACGAAACGGAGGCAGGCCAGGAGCCCAAACGGGAATATAGAGGCAAAGTATGCAGTGATGCAACATGCAAGGAAAGTTGTATATGCAAGGGCTGTTCGTAGGGAAAGTCACCCGAGATTCAGTAAGGATTTGGAGCTACAACACCGAGGGTCGGTGTCGTTGTCTTGGGAAACCGGGTCTTTTTCTCGGGTTTTTTCAACGCCCGGAAGAGAGGTGAGTCAAGTCGGGCGGGTGAGTCAATTCGAAGCCACCGGCGGTATCCAGGTCACCCCCAAAAACAACACAAAACAACAATCAACAGATATAAAAGGATATAAAAGGTATATATTGCGCTATTCACATCCTGGATCCTTATCCTTTGCTTGTTTGGGGGTTCCCAGATCTCGTTGAATTCAATAAACACCTCCAAAAATATCTAACGGCGTTTCTTTCAGTAGCTTCGACGGGATGTCTGGCGTGCTTGCACCGAGAAAAATAGATCGTTCCAACTCTCCCAACTGAAGGAGATCCTCCAGAAGTTGAAGGCCAGTTGCTTCGATCGCTTATTGATGGGCTCCACCACCGTGGACCGCGAGATGCCCATCCCAGAGGCTTCCAGCACTGTGTCTCGGAGCACTGTGTCGCGGGCGTTGGGTTTTTTGGACAGGTCAAGGTCGCTGAGGTGTCAAAGCCCGAAACGAAGCTCAGGTGAACATCAGATATTTTCATCACCCTAAGGCCCTCCATAAAAGGGGTCGAACCGTCTATACAGGGGTTTGTACCTCAAAACCCTTGTTTTTGAGGGTCATATTTCATCTTGTGGGTGCGGTTGGGTGTAGATCTAGAAGTGGCACCACTCACCGAGAAGCAATTGGGTTCTTGTTGCCTTGTAGCCTACAGTAGGTGTTTGGATGCCAAGCTTGGCACTGCCCAAAGTATCTTCCCACCGCCTTTGACCCTTCAACATGTGTTTCCTGTCAGCAAGTCTCAAGCCCTGTGTGTGTGATCGAATAGGGCGACCGGGGGTCCTTTTCCTGTCCGAATGAGTATTTTCCAGGGTAGTGGAACTGGGGGTTCGCTGCAGAGACAGATACGCACCCCAAAACCTTGGAATGGGTCCCCTGAGCAAACCGCAAACATGCCACACGACAGGAAAAGCACACACACACATGTGTCGCATGTGTGTGTGTGATAATTTCATCATGCTTCCCGTGGGGGCTGGTGGGTTGGTTGCTGTTAAATACCTCACATGTTTTGTGTTTCTTCGGATTCGAGAGTCACACCTCGAAGAAGAATCTAGCTCCAAGAAGAAGACCTGGATGGCTGCTCCGTAGGTTGAGTTCTTTTTTTCCAGGTTTGGATGGTACCAGATATGTTTGAGCCATATATATCTACCTGTTGCTTGAGTCTATTTGCAAGTTCTTTGTTCTATTCATTGAAGATGCGACAGATGCCGTGCTGTTGGAGGAAAAAGAACGTTGACCCTACCTGAGATCTGCACAACTTCCCCAAATGGATTGCGAAAAAAACACGCGATCTTTCTCAGGTTACTCTTTGATCTATCAGCAGTAGGGCAGTTCTGGGCAGTCTTGGTAGATGGAGGAGCTGTTGGAGTTGGTTGGTCTAAGCATCTGTCAGACGATCCATGTAAGTCATTATGACCTACACTCACCGCCCAAAATCTACCACGTGTAGGCCATGTTTCCCCACCATGGAGTGTTTGTGTGTGGCACAATGACGATGCTTGGTCGTTTTTAAATCAGGATATCTCCTGGGGAGTCACACGACAACGCCGGACGATAGCTTTGGTGTAGCTCCTGTCCTGTGGTGCTTTGGAAGAAGTTCATCCAGAAAGTCAAAATTCTTGTCGAGTTTTCTGTGGTTCAAGGATCAATTATTTACCTATATATATAACTATGTTTTCAGTTCAGTTCAGTTACTGTTCTTTATCAGTTCAGTGGTTAACATCCTTTAACCATGTTCCTCTAGTTTCCTCGAACAGAGTTGCAGGTGGACTTGACCTTGGTTCGCGTGGACCTGGGCCTTCTAGCTGGCCTGAGCGAGGAGATGGTCGTTATTGCAGTCAGTCGTGGACCTGTGCAGACCTGTGCAGTCAGACAGAGAAACCGATGCTTTATGGGTGACTCTACCAGCTGTCTCCAACGGGTCAATGGAGAACCCTACACTACTTAGGTCTCCATCCACGTCGACCCATTGGAAGCGCGTTCGCCATGGATGTTCGCAGGTTTTCTCCCCGGTCACCCCGTGTCGACTGGAAGCGCGTGCGTCGGACGCGTTCCGCGCTCCCGGTGGAGACTCGCCAGGAGATGATGCAAACACTGCATGACTTTGGCTCCATCCAGGCGTGCGTGGCCGCCTGCAGATCTGTCACACAGGGTCCGATCTGTCAGTGAGACCATACCAACAACGGTGACCCGCCTGCAGAGGACCACGTATAAGGACCCCCAGGTCACCACGGATGGCATGGTCGTTCGACCATGGGTTTTCATTGGTCAGGGTCCATGTGGTCCGTCTGTGGGGTGTGTGGCCAAGTAGTGGACATGTTGCCTTAGTCCATGTCCACGTGGGGCCCTGGAGGGTCCCAGCTGCGGGAACCAATCCGCCCCCCAGGCTGCGCGGCGACCGACCCAACCAACCACGAGATCACAGGGTCGGGCTTCCCTTTTGGTCTGCAGGGTACTCTCCCGGATCCGCGGATCCACCCTTTGAGAAAGTGATTTACGGATACTCTCCCTGCAACTAAAATGGAAGTGGAGTTCACCCCCCGTTTGTAGAGGATTTCATGGTCTTCCTTTCGGGGTCATTCTCCACGTAACCATGTTAGTTCTAGGGAGTGTATGTTGTTTTGCAACCTTTACCTGGGATGATTGAACCCACCGTCTCGCATGATTTTGTTCGTGAGTTGGAACCACCCACCAGTCAACCTCAACAAGGGGTCACTCATGGACACTGCAAACATAAAGGGCCCAGAGACATGCATCCAATAAGACCCGATCTGAGAGGTTGGAGACAGGGTACTGGCGTGGTCTTGAAGGTTCCAAGGACCTTGAAGCTTCCAACGGTTGCAGTGGATTGCCCCTGTAGGGCATGGGTGTTGACCGTCGATTCCAACCTCTGGGTCCATAAGGGTCATGGTCCTGGGTCCAAACACATGCTATAGGGCCTAGTAGGGAGACCCATTGCGCAATGGGTCTTAGTGCATTCCTTCCCTATGTCTTGTTGTGGCACCCGATGTCCACAGCCAGGAAAAGCCCCCCCATCCTCCCTCCAGCTTCTCAGTATATCCACCGTCCAGGATGCCCCAGGTGCTTTGAGCAGCACGGGGCGTTGCTTGTCCATCGCCAAGGCCGACAGCCAGTCCTTCTCGGGCGGAGGCCGCGACGACAAAACCGGGGGAGCGAGAAATACCTCATATCATGGCACATGCGCGCGCGGCGGCTGGAAGGCTTTGGCGGGAACTCGACGCTGCACCATTTGCTGTTGCTCCCCGACGGGCGCATTCTGGCCAAGTACCATCATGAGAGCCTTGGGCAGTTGGATGGAGGGATCACAATGCACTGCAGTTCTTCGTTGACCGCATTGACCTGTGATCCTGCGATTCAAGAGATGGGGACCCTTCTGCCGACGAGTGGGCGAAACCAGCAACGGCATCAGCGGCATCAGCAGCCGTCCAACAAGCAGCAGCCGACTCAACAGGTTCTTATATATTGGCCTTTGGAGACTTAACAGTGGCTGGTGATGTCTGGCAGGTTTCGGGTGGAGGTTTGGAGGAAGAGGGATCCAGCTGATTCAATCTTTGCACCCTCAAAAAAGGGGGAAACCCACCCACCGTCCATCCTTCCCCCCTCCCGACTCTATTCACATGCTGGACGTTTGGGGGGCCCAGAGGTGGAGACGGGAGCGGAAAAATCAATTGAACGGAGCGGTTTGCGACAAGGAGTGACTATATGGAGCACTGCGGCGATTATGCCCCTTGGCGGAAAAGTTTGGGCTACTGGCGAACTGTTCATTTTCAATCTATCGTGCCCATCTGACAAAAGGAGGAATCTGAATCTTGACTGGGTTCGTTATTGATTCTCCCTTGCAAATGAGTTTGTGAGAACCTCCATTTTGAGATTCACCCATGCAACCTTCCACCAACCTTAGCGTTGGTCGGAAGTGACTTTGCACCCTGTGATGGTAGCTGCGCGACAGGTGTGCCTAAAAGATGGTTTGGCCAAGGGAGAAACCATAGCTGCTATTAGCTCATATATGAAATCTATGTTACCAGTGTCTCCCCGGCCCATACGTATGAACCTCCTTCAAAGTGTCCTCTTTTCAACCAACAATTAACATCATCAACCCAAAAACAGGAGTATGCTTTTGGTAGGATGTACAAGAAAAGCAAACAACCCCGTTTTGTTGGGGAGTTCATATCCCCACCGAAGAAAACGGCCTCTTCCGTACGGACGGACCGGCCCGGCCCGAGGATTGCAGCTGCTGCTGGGAGATCGCCGAGGGGCGTTTCGAGCCCATCGTGGACGCGCCGGGGGAGATCCAGGTCGACCGGTTTCGGGAGATGGGGCGGGGTAAGGGTGGCTTTGTGGTGGGGCCTTGCCTTTGGGTTCAAGGATGGTTATAGAAGGGAAGTAAGTAGGGGGAAATCAGGTGAGAAGTTGATGATTGAGGGGTTTTCAAGTATGGAGGTGTATATCCTGTATAGGCACATCAGCATGGTGTTTTGATCCTGAGCCGCTTTCCATGAATCATTTGTATTTGTGTGCCTTGTGATGAATTTAGCAAAACCTCCACAGACGTAGGAAGCAGTCGAACACCACAACCACCCTTCTTTCGAACACCAAAGTGTGGGTTTGTATTCAAACAGAGTCACTGCGCAGCACCGGGTTTTGGGCACCATCAGCAGCACTGGGCGAAAACGGGGGTAGGTCTTCGAACTCTTCTTCAAAGAGAATTGGGAACATGTCCCTATGGATCCACACCTTCTGAGGTACTGTGAGCAGGGACACTAGCTCTTTATGTAGGCGCCAGGACGCGAAGGCACTGACTGGACGTCTTGGCAACCGTTTCTTCCTTGCGGTGCTTCAGGAGCCGGCCGACCAGCGCTATGCCAAGCCGGGTCGGTGGATATCAGATCCCTTTGTCTAACCAGCTGGTTCAAAGTCACCGAACTTGAGCGTCCCCAAGTGACCTTTTCCAAGCCTGACGGTGACCTCAAGCCGGTTTTCACAGGGTCACTTTGAAGAAGCTGGAATGACAGATTAAATGCAACATAAATACGGCATCCAAATCACCTCCCCATCCTCATTCCCCTCACTAATCACCTTTTCCAATCTTTCCGGGTCATCGAGCACCCCTTTGTAACTCCTGGTCATGAATGAATATCCTTCTCACCTTGGGAACCCAGTGAACCCAAGCAAGAAAACTCAAACAAATCTCCAGAACATCCACCACCAACAACAAACCACCAACGAACTGCTAACTGGTCACCATCCATTCACACCCACCTGCGCCTTGCCTTTAGCGCCTCTCCTTGGCCACTCGATCGGCCAAATGTACCAGGTCACCTGGTCCGGTTGGGCTGAGCTCCGTCACCACAGCAGCGAGCCCTTTGGCCCAGGCCAGGCGCGGGAGGGAGGGAGAAGGAGAAGAGTGGACTTGGGGGTGTTCAGTTTCAGGAGGTGTCAATTTGTTGGTTCAGTCTTTGGGGGGGTGTCAAGGGCGCAATGGAATTGAACACGCATGCCCCAGACACGACCCGTTGGTGTTTTTGGGACACCCCGAATCACCTCAGATATACAGAGGCTATTTATTAGACACCTCAAAGGGAAGGTCCTGGTAGATTTGGGACCATGTTCCATGTTAAAGGACCAGAAAGAATATGGGTCCTGGCTTTTTCTAGGCCTCATATAGTGAGCAACATGAATTGATGTCAGTTCTTTGATTGTCATTCCCACTTTCTCGCCCAGCCTCCTCTCCTCGTCGTCGACTCATCATCGTCGTCGATGCTCCAAGCCGAAATCGGAAGGTTGGTTTGGTCGGTTTTGCCGGAGGAAGGTGGAGGGTCTTTCCACATTTTAGAAACATACACCCGTTGCCATGTAGGTAAATGTGCCAGTCACTTCCAGTCAATTCCCTAATATATGTCCTGGGACCAATTATGTGTTCTTTTTGCGTGTGTCAGAGTGTTACAGTAGCCACAACTGGTTGGCTACAGTAGTTCGATACTCTTCCCCTCACTAACTCAGTGAAAGAGGCACCAGTTTTTCAGGAGGAAAGGAGGAAAGGAAGGAACAGTTTTCCACTTCCATGTCGAGTCGCACAGACATTGAAGTACATTTGCACCCTCTGTATGCCTGGGCAGTAGCCGAAGTCTTCGTGGGGTGGGACCAATCGGCCAGGGCCTGTTGGGAGTGATTTTTGTCATATAGTTGATACAATATGTTTGAAAAAGGTTTTACAGGCAATGTCATAAATATCAAGCTTTTACTGGAGAGGAAGAGGACGTTGATGTTCCAAGGCCTTGTTTGCAGTGAGGAGGATTCAATTTTGCCTTTGTGTATCTAGAGCTAGAGTGGCTTTGTGTACGTATATGTATGTACGTATTATTTTTGTGTCGCCACGTTTGAAGAGTTTGATCAGGTTCCTGCTGGACTGGTGGAAAGAGTTTAGCCTTGGTGCAGGTGAAGGGGTCACGAATAAAGGATGCAGGGTTGCACTGTATACTACTACTTTGAGCATGCAAGTACCTTCTCGTTGCGAATCCATTACTAAAGCATACTAAAGCTTGCTATATACAAGTAGTTCCCGGGCAAGCCGGCGGCGGAAGTTTCCTATAAGAACAAATTGACCTATAGGAGTGTCCACGTTCTCTCCAACATGCGCGTCCTCCAGTCAAACGCACGCGCTCCGGACTTTTGACCCACGGGATTCCACGTGTGTAAGGTGTGTGCGCCCTGCAGGATCAGCAGCTCACAACAGCGTACTGGGTTGTATCTTTGCCACGACAAGAGGGGTGTATGACGAGTGGTGTATGATGAGTGGTGTATGACGAGTGGTGTATGATGAGTGGTGTATGATGAGTGGTGTATTGACCAGCAGTTGAATGTCCTGTCCTGCATAAATGCAACCAAATACTATCAGTATGAACTGTGCCAAGCCTGCACGCCGCGAGAGATGACTCAGCAGCGAGAGATGACTCAGCCGCGAGAGATGGCTATAGCGAGAGCTGACTCAGCAGCGAGAGATAAATGAGCAGCGAGAGATGACTCAGTCGCAAGAGATGACTCACAGCAGCGAGAGCTGACTCAGCAGCAAGAGATGACTCCTCCGCGTACTACACTTGTACTACAAAGTTCTCAGCTTCCAGCTCCACAGGTTGTTCCGCGTGCTAAAGTTGTACTAGAAAGTCGCCAGTCAGTTCTCATCTTCCAGCTCCCCAGATGCTCCGCGTACTGCAGTTGTACTACACAGTCGCCAGTTCTCAGCTTCTAGCTGCACAGATTGCTCCGCGTACTAAAGTTGTACTACAAAGTCGCCAGTTCTCAGCTTCCAGCTCTACAGATTGCTCCGCGCACTAAAGTTGTACTTGAAAGTCGCCAGTTCTCAGCTTCCAGCTCTACAGATTGCTCCGCGTACTAAAGTTGTACTAGAAAGTCGCCAGCTCTCAGCTTCCAGCTCTACAGATTGCTACTACAAAGTCGCCCGTTCTCATCGTCCAGCTCGCCAGATACTCCGCGTACTAAAGTTGTACTACAAAGTCGCCAGTTCTCAGCTTCCAGCTCTACAGATTGCTCCGCGTACTAAAGTTGTACTAGACAGTCGCCAGTTCTCAGCTTCCAGCTCTACAGATTGCTCCGCGTACTAGAGTTGTACTAGAAAGTCGCCAGTTCTCAGCTTCCAGCTCTACAGATTGCTCCGCGTACTGCACCTGCCACGAAATCTGCACATGGAGGTTCACAAAGCGCTGTGCCTGCTAGGAAATCTGCACATGGAGGTTCACAAAGTGCTGTACCTGCCACGAAATCTGCACATGGAGGTTCACAAAGTGTTGTGCCTGCCACGAAATCTGCACATGCAGGTTCACAAAGTGCTGTACCTGCCACGAAATCTGCACTTCAAGAAACAAATGAAAACTCTAATCCCAATGGAGGGACGATTCCGAGAATGATCCGAGAATGACCCGAGACCATCTCGCAACCGTCGTTCTGCAGACCTTGACTTGCCAGCTTCGGAGCCACCGGTTCCATTGAAAAATACAGCATTTCGTGCGTTCGCTATCTCTCCACAACGCATTTTGTATTGCGCCTGCCACGAAATCTGCACATGGAGGTGCAAAAAGTGCTGTGCCTGCCACGAAGTCTGCACATGGAGGTTCACAAAGTGCTGCACCTGCCACGAAATCTGCACATGGAGGTTCACAAAGTGCTGTGCCTGCTAGGAAATCTGCACTTGGAGGTTCACAAAGTGCTGCACCTGCTACGAAATCTGCACATGGAGGTTCACAAAGTGCTGCACCTGCCACGACATCTGCACATGGAGGTTCACAAAGTGCTGCACCTGCCACGAAATCTGCACATGGAGGTTCATGTTGTGCTTGCCACGAAATCTGCACATGCAGGTTCACAAAGTGCTGTACCTGCCACGAAATCTGCACTTCAAGAAACAAGTGAAAACTCTAATCCCAATGGAGGGACGATTCCGAGAATGATCCGAGAATGACCCGAGACCGTCTCGCAACCGTCGTTCTGCAGACCTTGACTTGCCAGCTTCGGAGCCACCGGTTCCATTGAAAAATACAGCATTTCGTGCGTTCGCTATCTCTCCACAACGCATTTTGTATTGCGCCTGCCACGAAATCTGCACATGGAGGTGCAAAAAGTGCTGTGCCTGCCACGAAATCTGCACATGGAGGTTCACAAAGTGCTGCGCCTGCCACGAAATCTGCACATGGAGGTTCGCAAAGTGCTGTGCCTGCCACGAAATCTGCACATGGAGGTTCACAAAGTGCTGCGCCTGCCACGAAATCTGCACATGGAGGTTCGCAAAGTGCTGTGCCTGCCACGAAATCTGCACATGGAGGTTCACAAAGTGCTGCACCCGCCACGAAATCTGCACCTGGAGCTGGAGTTGCCTGGCGCTTGAGCTTTTGAAACCAGAGCTAACTGGAGCTAGAGCTATTGAAACTAAGAGCTTATTGGAGCTAGAGCTATTGACACTAGAGCCAACTGGAGGTAGAGCAAACTGGATGATAAGTAGTGTATGATGAGTGGTGTATGATGAGTGGTGTATGATGAGTGGTGTATGATGAGTGGTGTATGATGAGTGGTGTATGA